CTCTTTCGTGTTGAAGCAGTCGAACCTCCTCCAACGAAGCCACCCAAGATTGTATTAATGTGACCCCTCAAGGGTCGTTCACCACTCATGCTTTGGCTACGTCGATCTTCTTGACGTCGATCATTCGTCCTCGCCTAACAGCTATTTCTCCTTGGGGGGCGGCTATTTCTTCTCGGGGGGTCTCTCCGTTGTTCCTCCTGCATGTGTGCCCGAGGTTTTGATGATATTGACAATGCTTTCGCCCATCGACATTCTTCGACATTGTTGATCGCCCCAAAGTTAATAGGTTGACCCTTAGTGCTTCCTCCATCACTCTTGCCTTAAGCGTGTTCAAAGATCTGCAATGTGTATATTGAAGCCCCTTAAGAAAATCCTTATGCTTCAGACCGCTTCCCCTACCATCTTTGTTGAGTGGTTTTTCCCTTCCTTCCGCTGGCGATTAGGGTTAATTTCCTGTGCAACCTCTTCCTTTTACCCCTTTTGAAAAACACGCATTTCCTCAATGAGTATAAACTTTGCTGCTTTGTCCTGCAACTCCCCTAATGTTTGCGAGGTTTGGCATACAAGCTATCAATGAAGGGTCTCTGTTTCAATGCTGTAGTCAAGCTACTTACTATGAACTTCCTTTCCACGTCCTTCACTTGACGAACGATTTTGTTAAAGCTACGCAAAGTTCCAAATCCATCGATAGTGCCAGGCTCCAAAGAATGAAACCAGGCAAGGGCTTCTCCTTTCAAGGATAGAGAAAAACCCCTGCACCAGACTAAATCATTTGTCGAGTACACCACCATTACATCAATAAAAGATCTAAGGTACTCATCGGGGTCAGTCGACCCATTGTACTTTTCAATAGTAGGGAGCATTCTGCTATCTTGCATTGGTGCCCCCATAAATGCAGCTTGAAAAGATGGAGCCCTTCTGCTTGACCCGAGCGAACCACCGGGACAAGTTCAGCTACCCGATCGGGACGAACCACGGGAGTGAGTTGGACCTCCCAGGCCATGCTCACAGCGACACTTGGCCTCCTGGCCTCTGGCCTCTGCCTGTACTGTTTGAGAATTTTATGATCCAGGGGCTCACGTTGCCATCATCGATTGTTGAACTGATTGCTCCCTCTAACCATCACCTCAGCTCGTCCTCAAAGATGTTATCTTTGCCCTCAATTCTAGCATTTGTCTCTACACCTCCTGAAGCACACCTAACTGATCAATTTTCTCTGTCATTGTGGTTATTATTGTGTTTCTTCTACTGTCCTTGGGCCCCACGGTGGGCGCCAAATGTTTCGGGGCAAAGGTTTCGAGGTCGGTCGTCCTTCCTACCTTCACTCTACTTCGTGTGTTCACGTCTGCGTTCCACTCCGATCATCCACCTCTCTGCTTTGTTACATATCCTGAATGTCTTAACTTCACCAAGATGCTTGATACCCCCCAGTGGTTGACCTACAGAAAACACTTCGCTCAAGTCAGATATATTTCTCAAGAAGGTCTATATGATTGTCGAAAAAGTGTATTTACCTGGATTGATCTCGCATTTATAGGCTTCATAACCAGCAAGCTCATTAACTATCCATTAATAAAGTATATTTTCAGACGATATAACTTGTTAATTACTCATTAATATCATATATTCGTACTTGATATGGTCATTAAACTTATTAATTAGTCATTAATTCTTTCCACTTTACCTACTAATTGTGTTGCCACATAACCAATTGGTTGATTGCTTCCATCATGTGTCAGTCGATTGTTCATAATGGATCATGAACTTCTCATACGCCGACTGGTACATATTATACAATACAATTAAGATTGAACACTAGTGCAGAAAGGGGCTTTAGACGTTTGTTATTTTGGCCTTTTAACGTCGGATATGTATCCGACGTCTTTATGGGTGACGTTAATCAGACGTCGGGCAATGTATACCCGACGTCTATATAGACGTCGGACTGAATATATCCAACGTCTATAGAGACGCCGGATGTAGGCATATCCAACGTCTATAGAGACGTCGGATGTAGGCATATCTGACGTCTATAGGCCCTGAAACATTTTGTTCACTGTAACTCTATCGACGTCGATTTGTGCATTGACAGACGTTTATAGACGTCGGGCAGTGCATTAACCGACATCTACTAGGTGTTTTTTTTTTAAATTAATTTATTTTTGCAATAAAACCACACACCTGAAAAACGGTTGCTCTGAATCATTTATAAGAGAATCATACAAATTAGCTCTTCCAAAATTTTCTTCACCGACATCATGTATCATGTCCTCTAAATGATCACTCATCCATTCTTCCACATAATTCGTTCCTCGTGACGTGGTAGGCTGGTTTAGAACTTCTCCATGCCTAGTCTAAACGGTAAAAGTTCTCATTATGCCGAACATGAATAGATAGTCACACACATTGCCTAAGTCTTGCCGTATTTGATTAAGACAACGAACACAAGGACAAAAATATGTCCCGTTCACAGGCTGAGCATTTTGTTCAACATATTGCAAGAACTCCGAAACACCCTTCTAATATTCTTCACTGATGCGACGTTCATTCATCCAGCTTCGATCCGTACTATGTTCTTAACATATTTCATCAGTTTCAGTTATTTAACTCTCAAAGGTTAGGCCCTACCCATTCAAAAAAATTATTTTTCATAAATTGTTAAGACACATGCAAAGAAGTCTACATCAGAAATTTGATAAGATTTCGGCGGCATTTCGCATTGGTCTCCGAAATACACGAAATGAGAGTAGTCAAAGATGACCACAATCAAATATGCATCTGAAGAACAACACAAACACTGAACCGAAATTTTATCAATCTTATCCATAAACTCCAACGTACATGTTATAGCAAATTATGAAAAATAATTTTCCCAAACTGTCCAATCGGACAATTCAAAGTTTAATACAAACGATTAAAAGATTAATCGTTTGTGTTAAATTTCAAACGGGAACTAAGTTTCACTCAATCATTTCATACTTATAATCTAACATGCCAATTATAATTACACAACTATCACATGCACATGCATATTTAAAACCTAATAACACATGCATACCTAAAAGCCAAAAACATGCATACGTAAAACCCAATAACATGCATACACAAAAGCCAATAACATGCATAGAAAAAAAGTTTTAAACAAAAAAAGCTAACCTCTTTAGCAGATTAAAATAACAATGGAGGGAAATGGAGTAATGCATAGACAAAAACGTAGGCCAAAAAGAGTCCAAAATGCCGCCCACGCACAAGCCAAAAACTACACCAAAACGTAACGAAAACAAATTTTAATCAGTTCAAATGGAAGATTTTTCATCAAAGAGTTATTTTATCGGAGTAAAAGTAAATTTAAACGATCCATATTAGAGCGAAAACGCACCTGGAATGCAATGCTTCAGACAAAAAACGCGAGCAAGATGATGAACAGTGAGCATAACTCCTCGCGGGTTCGCGGGTGCAGTTAAACAACATATAAACGTCGGGTGCTTAGGGGGTCCGACGTTTATTATAGTATAGACGTCGAGGACTTCACTAATATGACATCTTTATTATTTATAAATTCATTTTCGTGGGGCTTATAGGCGTCGGTTTGGGGGGCCCCGACGTCTCTATGAACGTTTTACGTACCTTGTCAGGCAAATAGACGTCCGTTGGGGAGGGTCCCCGACGTCTATAATATTATAGACGTCGGGGCCCCTTCAAACGGACGTCTATATGCTTGACAGGTAGGTTAGAAATTAATTATTTTAGTCACTTAGACGTTTGTTGGGCGGAGCCCCGACATCTATAATATTATAGACGTCGGGGACCCTCCCCAACGGACGTTTATATTCACACTTATTTACGAAAATGCCACCGGTCAATAATTTACGTTGATTGTTTTCGGGTCCGACGTCTAACGGGTGACGTTAAAAGCCAATTCTACACTAGTGGAAGCAAATATAAGAACTTATACAGACTTAGTGAGATTGAAGTAAAATGTCTAAGAGTTAACATACTAATTTTCTGTTAATACAATTTTTATTTCTTGCATTCTTTTGAAATTGGATGGTTCTAGATTTCTTAATACAACTTATTTTGTTTTAAAAATGAGTAAGTGTTGATCGTAAAAATTAATTTGATTACCAAGATTAAGATGCAAAGACATTTTAGAAGATGGAATAAAATTTTCGAAGTAATGAATATGAGGAAACCGGTCTTCATATAAAACATCATTGCGAGAAACACTAATAGCATGAGTTCGAAGACGATATACAATATACCCTTTAGTGTTAGGCTTAAAATCGAGAAAATTTCCTAGCCTGAGGATCCAACTTTTACATATTTCCTACAAAATAGTTTCCTCCGTAAGAATTGATTCAGTTTTAATTCTTAGTTCATCTAACTAGAAATAGGAATCTACATTTTCTTTCTTTTTCTTTTTTGTTATTTGTAATGAAATTGATAATTGTTGATTGATATGTATATAAAGGTATATGATACTCTTTTCAAGATCACAAACAATTTCTAAGATATTGATTACAAGACATCTTTAAAATCTCCTAAATTCTTCTTTACGTTAAATATGTTTTTAGTCCCTAAACTATCAAGCGAATTTGTTTTTAGTCCCTCTTTCAAACTAAGCTGCATTTTGATCCTTCTTCTTAAGTAAAGGATAATTTTTTGTCCTCCAAAACTAACGGCGTTAAAAATAAGCTGAGGTGACTAACGGTGGTGTGTCACGCCATTTTTCTTTTCTGACACCAGTTAATCTTTCTCAGCTCCTATCCCTCCCTTTCCCTCCGACTCTACCATAGCCACCTCCGGGGCCACCATCAACCGCGAAACCCCCATGCGCAACCACCCTCCACCACGCTCACTTACATGGCCAACGTAAAACCTTCATCTCCACTGCTCAGAAAACCCCCAAATCGCGTATTAGTTCATCTCCTCCCACCACCACAGAGACCCAAATAAAAAAACTAAAATTACCCAAACCTTCATCGCGATCTCTTCTTTCATTAACCCAATTTGCACAAGAATCGCAAACCTGCAAACAACAAGCATCAAAAATTTAATAAAACTTATTTTCATGCTCGTGACAGAAACCGACATCAATACTTTAATAAATTGTTTACATGCTTCTGACACAGATAGCACCACGCAACCCATATTGCATTCTGGATTTGTTAATAATTAACAAGAAAGGTACTTGATTCAGAGGAGCAGAATGATGGATCCTTAACCTTTTCTTGCTGGGCTCGGTTTCCACTCCTTTTAGATGTTTTCAACTGCTTGTCATAAATCTCATACTTCTTATTCATCTCTTTATGACACTGTTCGTATCCACTCTCAAAATCATCAAAATTTCCACGATAGAAATGAAGTTTCAAATCATGGAGATGAATAATCTGAATACATAATGTATTGAGAAAATCTATATCATGTGAGACAACTACCAAAGTTTTCTTCCAACAGCACAAATACTCTTCCAACCCGAGAACAACCCTCAGGTCGAGATGATTTGTGGGTTCATCAAATAATAATAGCGTTGGTTGTACAAAAAGTGCTCGAGCTAAGGAAATTCTCATTCTCCAGCCACCACTGAAGGATTTTGTAGGGCGGCCTTGCATATTCTTTGTAAAACCCAAACTGGCTAATATCTTTGATGCTTAAGCTTCAACAGCATCAGATCCCATCAACTGCAGTTTTTAATATATGCCTTAGGTACCGGTATCTTCCTCCAGGCAAGAAGTTTTAGCAGTGTGGACTTGCCCTTTCCATTAGGTCCAACCAAACCATAGCTCTTCCCATGAGATATCTTCACTAATGCATTCACTAGTGTAGAATTGGCCTTTAATGTCACCCAATAGACGTCCGTCCATAAAAACACCAACGTAAATAATTGACCGGTGACATATCGGTAAATAAGTGGGACTGTAGACGTCCGTTGTGGGGGGGCCCCGACATCTATAATATTATAAACGTCAGGGCCCCTCTAACGAACGTTAGGTGGCTGAAAAAGTTAACTCTTCAACTACCCTGTCAGCAACTTAAACGTCTGTTGTGGGGGGAGGGACGGACGTCTATAATATTATACACGTCAGGGCCCCTCCAATGGACGTTTAAGTGGTAGTTTGAAGAGTCAAATTTTCAGC